ATTCCCCAATTTCTGCCCCCAAAAACCCCACAAACCCACATCAGAAAGGGAGCAGAAGACCACCACGACCCCAGCCCCACACCCCAGGGAAGGGAGGGAGGGATTTTGGGGGGCAGGGGGGGGTTCATTACATTCCCCCCCCCTCCCCAACTTTCTCTCACCTCTTCCACCTCCAGATCGATGCACCAAATGACTAAGTAATTAGCAGTCTCCTCGCAAACGAGGTGGGGGTTATCAGAGAGGTATTTCTGGCTGTCGTCCCAACGCCGCAGCATCCCTAACGAGGAGAGGACTAATTAAGGATTTGGGGGGGGCCACACGGGGCGGGGGGGCCACATAATTAATCCCAAATACCAATTAACCCATCGTTTTTCCTCAAAATCATGCGAAAAAGAACAAAAACCCACCAAACACCAGATTAAATGGGTCGATTTGGGGGTTTTTTCGAAGCAAGGGGGTTCCCCAGCGCGATGCCCCTCCCAGAAAGGGGGTACCAACCCCCCCACAGGGCGGGGGGGCCACATAATTAATCCCAAATTTCAATTAATTGAGGCTTTTCCTCAAAATCATGCGAAAAAGAACAAAAAACCACCAAAACACCAGATTAAATGGGTCGATTTGTTGGTTTTTTCAAAGCAAGGGGGTTCCCCAGCGCGATGTTCCTCTCAGAAAGGGGGTACCAACCCCCCCAAACTTCCAAATTTCCCCCCCCCTTCAAAATTTAGCACCCCCCCGAGCACCCACCGAAGTGTTTGATCTGCTTTTCATATCTCTCCACGAAAGTTTTGTGTTTTTTCTCTTTCTGTTCCTCCGTCTCCTCCTTTTCCTCCGGTTTGACGTTGAAAACGCTCTGGGGGGGGACAGAAAAAAGTGAAAAAAAAACCCAAAAAAAGAAATTTTGGGGGGAAAGGGGGGGGGGAAACAAACCCCACCTTGCTGAAGCCATCTTTGCTGAGGGTATCGACATTCCAGGGCATGTTTTTCTCTTTCTTTTTCAGCTCTTCCAATTTATTCTCCCAACTTTTCTCTTCTTTCCGCAGCTGTTGAGCTTCTGCCCGGAGTTTTTCCAACTCCCCTTTCCCGTTTCCTCCCGGCTCCGACACTTCCAGCTCCTTCAGTTTCCTCTGGCACTCGGCCAGTTTCCTCTTACATTCCCTGCAACCTTTATCCAGCTCTTCTTTTTCCTTCTGGAATTGCTCCATCCGCTCCACGCGAGCCTGGAGGAGGAGACGGGAAGAGGGATTCGTTAACGGGATCGGAATTATCGGCATCGATAACCCCTCTCCTCCCTCATTAATCCCTCTCCCCACCTCGTTAACCCCTCTCCCCACCTCGTTAACCCCTCTCCTGGAAGCTGGAGGAGCTCCCTCTTCCAGCTCCGTTATCCCTAGGGAATTAGGGAGAAGCTGGAGGTGGGGGAAACACCCAAATTTAGATAACTTCATCTTTTTTTCCCTAGTTTTATTTGGCAGAGCTTCAGTGGGGAAAAGCCCCTTCATTTCTTCCCCCCCCTCGGGGGATTCCGGATCGGGGAATTGGGGCTGATTCCGGGGCTGATTCCGGAATTCCGACACCAAGGAATGGGGTTGGCCAGGAATCATTAATGGGATCATAATTAGTGGCATCATTAACCCCTCTCCCCCCTCGTTAACCCCTCTCCCCCCTCATTAACTCCGCTCCAAGAAGCCAGAGGAGCTCTCTCTCCCAGCTCCGTTATCCCTGGGGAATTAGGGAGAAGGGGGGGTGGGGACAAACACCCCCAAAACACCCAAATTTAGAGAAAAATAGGAAAAAAAGATCAAGTTATTTGGCAGAAATTCAGTGGGGAAAAGCCCTTTCATTTCTTCCCCCCCCCTCAACAAATTGGGGCTGATCCCGGAATTCCGACGCTTCCCAGCACCCCCGGGGATGGGGTTGGCCGGGAATCATTAATGGGATCATAATTAGTGG